TGGTTAGAATGATAATTGACCCTAAAAAATTTGTTTGCTCCCTAAAAAACTATTTTACTATTACTATTCAACATCCCGTTAAACCAATGTCCCCACCTCAAAACCAATGAGCTTTTGCTAGTAGAAAGTATTCATAACATCGTACTGAATTTTGAGGTTTAAACAAAATCAGTGCATACGTAAGGATCCTAATATGCAAACTTGTTAATAAAAATAGTAATCTTTATTATAGAGTTGCCTTACTAAATTCTAACCTTTTTTCTAAACTAGTTGTATTTAAAAAAAATTGCAAGACTGCACCACTGTGTCAATCAAGTTATCAAGCTGTTATGTTTGTGCATGATTTAAAATTCTTTTGTGCTAATTTAGAGTCCTGTCTTTCTTTGCTCTTGTAGGTAGCATTTTACAAATCAAGTTATTTACTTAATGTAATAATTATTATATCAAATTAATTTGTAACTTAGGTTTTCAAAAATTGATAAAATTAATTATTTTGAAAAAATGGTGGATATTTATAATAATTATAAAAGAAAAAATTTCACATGCATGCATGTTTTTTTTTGTTTGTTGAAAAAGATTTCAGTGAAGTTTATATGCATTGTTTTTTTTTTCAAATAGTTCAACTGATAAATAAATAATTTCAAAAGATTTGATTTTCCATATCCTTTTATTAAATAATACTTATTTACAAGTTTTTTTTACTATATGTAAAAATCTAATTATTGTCAAGAAATCATTGTAATTAATCCTTTGTCTTTGGTGTAATGATACTAATGTCTTAGTGTATTATCAGACAAACAACAAATTATTGACTCTAGTATATTTGTTATGATGATTGTTACATATTTTTTTAAAAAAAAATTACTACTAATTATAGAAGTTAAACCAGCAAAAATACTTTTAATTAAAAAGCCAAAAAGCTTGAGAAAATTTTGTACTTAGATATTAAAGCAATTTTGGGAATTTATTTCAAGAAATTACCAAGTATACAGAAATATCAACATTTTCTTTTTGAAACATCCAATCTTGGTGTAGTTAAAGCTCAGGAGATTGCTAATGGACCTTTTACTGAATTCAATTTATTGAAAGCCAAGAAAGCAGATATTTTTGAAGAAATTAAATCTTTATCTATTTTAGAATTAAAACCACCTCCTTTGGATTACAAAGGCAAGAATATCTTTATCATAATATTCGTCCATTTATTAGAGATAAATTCAAAGATATTACTTGTCCAAAACCAATTTATGCTGACAACAAATAGAAATTTAAAAATAAACTATATAAAATAATTATATACTTAATAATGCTTTTATAAAAAGAAAGATATTAAGTATTTATTAACAAAAATCATGGTAAACATTATAAATGAACAACAACAAGCAAATAAAGAATTATTAAATGAAATTGAAACATTGAAAAAGCAATTATCCAATAAAGAACAAGAAATTACTGAATTAAAAAATCTAGGAGAAGTAAGTGAAGAAGAGGAAGTTGAATTTAAGCAAGAAGCAATGGAAAGAATTCACCAAATATTGGTAGATATGAGGGAAAGATTTCCTCATTGTAGCAAGAATATTGAACAAGATTTAAGAGAATTGATTAGTAGACCATTAAGAAATCAATTTATGACTGTTTGTTTTCAACATAGCCTTATGCACAACTATAAATGGGAAGGTAAAGAAAATCTAGAAAAAGTAGTTGAGAGAATTATTATAGATTACTTTGAAGACACTGAGTTAGCCACTGAATTGAAAAAAGATTGGAAACTATGAAATCAAAGAGCTCATATTTTTTCTAAAATAGAAGAAGGAGGTAATCTTTGAGGCAAGCCTGCTAAGGATATAGTTCTTAAAGATATTATAGGAAGCAAGCTTAGTAGGTAGCAGTATATATATACTGCTACCTACTTATGTTAGACTGTTGCCTACTTATGATTAGACTATTACCTACTTATTTTTGGGTACCTGTTTTGGTGCCTATTTGGCTTGATATTTGCTTCCTTTCAATGAGGTTTTCGGGTTTCTTTGGCCCTTTGATTACTTTCATCACCTGAAGCTGAGGCACGGAGTGCCAATTGTGAGGGCTATGCCTGAACTGGATGCAAAGCATCCTGGTTTGCAAATCCGCAATTATGTAATTATTAATAAATTAGACTATTTTGTGGTCATCTGCGTCTTCGAGTTTGTGCCAGCATTTGGATGAAAAAAATATGTGCCCAGTATTGATTGCAGGTTGATGGGCGGAGTATATATTTAAGAAGGTGTCTGATTTCTGCATTTTCAGTCTCCGCCATGTAACATTCATGATCATCGTCAACATGTGTGGACGGTCACCTATAAGTAGCACTCCAGGAAAATGCTTATTTTGGCTTTTACGATGAATTCGATTGCGAGGGGTGAGGCACGAAGTGCCGAATTGGCAATCTCTATTTTGGCCTTGTATGTTGCATTTGAATGCTAGGTTTGAGGCACGAAGTGCCGAATTGTTAACTGTTATAATGCATTTGAATATCAATCGAGGATGAGGCACGTAGTGCCGAATTGTTAGCAGTTGTTAGCTTCATATAATTCATTCGAATATCACCCAATGATGAGGCACATAGTGCCGAATTGTTAGCATATCTGGTAATACACCAAAGCATCTGATGATGAGGCACATAGTGCCGAATTGTTAGCATATCTGGTAATACACCAAAGCATTCGATAATGAGGCACGTAGTGCCGAATTGTTAGCATATCTGGTAATACACCAAAGCATTCGATAATGAGGCACGTAGTGCCAAATTGTTAGCAGTTATTTGGTAGTCACCCAAAGCATAATTTTTATAATATATATCTTTCTATAATAATTTTACTTTGGGTGACTACCGGCAGTATACTATGTTTTACGATCCTAGAAATCTTTCTTGCATAGTTGATA